ATTTTCCTGGGAGGTATAAGAGTATTCTTGGTCGCCACATAATTACTCTGTCCAATTAGACCGGCCAGGCCGACCAGTCAGCGTGACCCCTGTTACTGTAATTGTGCTCTGTGAGGAGAGCCAATGGCGGTAAATTTCCACACGATTATTGTGTGTGGGTAGCGGAGTTGGTGGCGGGTATAAATAGAAACATACTGGGAAACAAAGAGACGGAGAGGAAAAACAATGAGGGGATAAAAGTGGCAGTTGGGCTCGATTTTTTGCGACTAAATAATATATGGTTTGGTTAACTGTCGTTTATGTCGTTATATGACCTTATAGTGTTGCAAGTGCCATAAAACTCGTACTAATACTAATGTTCAAAACCGTCGTGGAGATGCTTGAGGATTGGCCTCTCTCTCTCTTTCTCTCTCTCTCTCTATCTATCTATCTATCTGTCTATCTCTTTCTGTGTGTGTGTATGTGTTTGAGGAAGAAAGAGAGAGAGAGTGAGAGAGAAAGAGGGAGGCTAGGAGTGGGGTCTGTCTGTCCTCGGTCACCGCGCACACGCCGAGATAACGATTCTGATTTCATTCTTATAATAGTCGGGGGGCGATGGTTTTGGGAGATGGAAGAAAAAGAGGAAAGAAAGGAGGTAAATGGCTCCAGTATCAGAAATTTTAGGGAGGAAAAAGGTAAGGGGGAGGGGCGTTGATATAATATAGAGTGGAGAGGTGTCTGTGAAGGAAGGCAGGAAGGTTGGGGAGGAGGAGGAGGGGGTGAGCGGCTGGCAGAGAGAGAAAGAAAGACAAGCAAGCAAGCAAGCAGTGGCGTGTTGTGTAGAGTGTGATGAGAGGCTGGGTGGTGGTGGTGGCGGCGGTATTGGTGGTGGTCGTGGTGTCCGCCTTCCGTCCCCTTGTTGAGCCCGGTACAGCTGGCTGCTCAGCTGCTGCTGGTTGCTGCTCTGGTCCCCCCGAGCTGACCACAGAGAGGGGCCGGCCGGCCACCCGCACACCGCGCTCGTCTTCTTATGGCTCGGGATCGGCCGCGCAGGTTTGTGATGCAATGATGACAGCTGACATACATGTTGTTGGGGCTTCTCTTGTGATCAACAGTAGTGCTGCAGACAGAGTGCTTTTTCCCCCAATGTGATTTGTCTGAGATCTGTATTTTTTGTGAAGCCATGTCTGATACGATCTCTTCTTTTTTTGGCTCTGTCTTTTCGGATACGGACGTTAGACCGGAGTGACCGCTTTTGAAAAAAATATGCTCACTTGACTGGAAACGGCGTTGGGTCTTCAATGGACCGTATCAAAATTCATGGCTTACCGGGGTCATTAAATATATATATATATATAACAACTGTTCTTATGTAATTTTAGTTATATAGAAGTGACGTGGTTTTTGTTCTTATTTTTTTGGATTATATTTTGTGTACGTGTGTGCCTTGGTTCGAATTCTGATGTCATAGAAATGATGTTACTGTGATTGGGCGAGGAAAGCTGAGTTGTGTGTCAATGATTTTCCTTTTTTTTACCACAATGGATTGCTGTGCATCTAATTTCTATATGACCTTATGCAGTTGCGAGCGCCGTAAAACCCTCTACTGTAATAAAATAAATGAGTGTGTTTTTGGAGCAAGAACAATCATAGAAAAAATGTTCGAAATGCATAATGAGTGGGTTATAGCAAATGTGATTACAGTGAATTAACAAGAGTCTTTTGGCTGTCAATTGATGGATGCAAAGACTGATCCCAACATCAAAACTTTAATCTAGAGCATCTGACCACCGAAGCAGAGTTGTAGCTTTTTAATTTAACCCCTAACGCTCCTCCTTTCCCGCTCTGTGGAAGTTGGGAGTTTTGTGTCATGTTCGTTATATCGGTACTGTACCCTATATGACCAACTGAGGGAAATCTTTTCGGAATTACTCTTTCATTCTGTTACTCTTTAGCTTTTGAGGGTTTTTTCATGGGGGG